CTACCTTGTTAATCAACATTGTATCCGACCTGAAGAGTAATGAAAGGCCTAGTCGAAATAATTATATAATATTATATGGCTTCTGTGCTTCGTGTGCTGATTGCTCTTCTTCTATTCTTCCTTGTCTCTCTCTGGTATTCGCATTACTGTTATTGGGCATACTGGTCCATAGAAGTAGTAGAAGGAAGCGTGACCGAGAAACGGTCAGGAGCACTAAAGTCTTTGCAGTCAACTGCACTGGCATACAGTACAGACTACAGACTACAGACCCAGTGCACACTGCACTGCGTTCATCAACACCAAGTAATAGTCCGCAGTCCAAGTGCTCAAAATGTGTCTCTAAAAAAATTCCGTTCGCCTCGACGGGGCACCAAGGTTCGATGTGGGGGCCTGAAAGAGGACCCCTTGGGGTGCCCAAAAAAGTCGACAACTGCTTCTGGGTCTGGGGCGTTCTCTCGATAGGGGCGAATTTCTTCGGGGCAATTCCATGCACAAGTTTCGCCCAGCGTGAGTTTGAGAACGCGTCGTACCTGCTCAAAAGTTCAAAGATGTCAAATTTGAAATCTCGCACACGTGGAGCGCCACGTGGTGCGTTTTTATTATGCATCTGTATGCCTCTCATGGTTGTCTGAAGGCAATGAAGACTGACTGTGTTATCTGGTTATGGTTGACTTCACTCTTTTGTGCCATTGACCGGCTTTTCTCACAATAGCTATTGATGTCTAGAGACATACTGACTGTCTAGCCTTCCCCATAAAATCTGTTCAATGCTGCCGAGTTCGAGATCACAACACGCTTCAGAATTTTAGGGCCCTTGAGTGCGCTCAGTGGTCCCGCGTACATAATAGTCTTTTGGTGACACATGAAAGTGTCCGCAACTGGCCTCTACAGTGCGGACACTGCAGTGCGGACACTTACTTGTTGGTGCACAGGGCCAGGTGCCATCTCCTTTGTGCCGGAACCCAAAATAAGAGAACTCCGAAGTGTCTTCACACAATGAAAGTGGTTTTTACAAGTGCCAAACTATTTTGACAGCCTGCATGGCAACACAGGAGTCTTCCACTGACAGGAGGAACACTCGGCAGTCGCTAAGAGCTCCTGTTGTTGAACCAGGACGCAAGAACTGCTTGTTTTGGGGCACACTGAAAAAAAAATTGGCGAGTAGTACAACGAAGCAGGCGACATCTCAACTCGTGACAGTGGAAGCAGAAAATAAATTGCGGGATGCTGCTGCCACACGTCAAGATCAGAGGATTTTGACAGCGATTAGTTCAGGCAACCTGATCGCTAGAGAAGTGCACTACCACAAGTCTTGCTACCATTCCTACACTCGAGCAGAGACTCTCGCAAGGATTGTTGCAAACAGGCAAAAGACGGACACTACCTGCACCGCTGATCTCAATGCCTCATCGATTGAGTCATCTGAGGATGATTTCTTCTCTGCGGTAGGCAGTCTACTGTTTGATGATTGTGCTGTTGTGTCTGCTGCGGAACTAACCCGGTTATATTGCAAGGTGCTTGGTTCAACAGCGACTTGTGACAACAAGAAGGTGAAAAGGCTTGTTCTGAAGAAGTTCGGTGACACGGTAACTTTTGTGCGACGGGCAGCCCGCAATACTCCGGAACTAGTTTACGCCACGGAACACGCAGCCAGCATAATTGCTGAGCTGTTTGATAGAGACAGTGCTGTGTCTGATAGTAGCAGTGATGAGGAACCTGGTGAAGATGCAACTTCTGGCGAAAGTGACGGCGATGATGATGGTGGTGGTGGTGGTGTTGACGGCACCGGTGTCGGTGTGGTGGGTGGTCAGACAAGGAACAGTGCTAAACCAACTGCCGATGAGCTGCTTGTGGAGCAAGACAATGTGCGACTTGTGTACCATGCTGCAAGGATGTTAAGGCGCTTGTGCATTGAACATGCTCGCACACGTAGAGTCCCCTCGGAAATGGTGAATGTCACGAGCGTGGAAGCTGCCGTGGAATCACTGCCCGGCTTATTGCACAACTTTCTCTTGTGGCTGCTTGCAGACGACTACGATGATGTTGTCAGCAAGCAGCGCATAAAGACGCACGATGCAGGCATCACCAGGCAAGTGCTGTCCCTTGGTCAGGATGTTATGTACCGTGTTACACCAATGGTTCCACCAAAACATGTAGCACTGGGACTTGCCCTTCACCACTTATTCAGGAGCGAGAAACTTGTCACCGTGCTCAACCGGTTTGGCCACTGCGTGGCATATCCACAAGTGCTCGAACGTGAAGCATGTATTGTCGAAAGGAATTTGCGTGGTGGTCAAGTACCTGATGGACTACCTTTGGCGGTGGATCGATCTCTCCCCTTCTACCATGTAGCAGACAACAATGATCTCAACGAAGAGACTGTCGACGGAAAAGGCACTACTCATTGTACGAATACTATCATCATCCAGCCAGCCCTGCAGAATCGTGTGACGCCATCAGCTACAGCAGCAGCACCAGCAGCACCAGCAGCAGCAGCAGCAGCAGCAGTAGCAGCACCAGCAGCAGCAGCAGCAGCAGTTGCAGTAGCAGCACCAGCATCATCAGCAGCAGCAGCAGTAGCAGCACCAGCAGCAGCAGCAGCAGCAGCAGCAGTAGCAGCACCAGCATCAGCAGCAGCAGCAGCAGCAGCAGCAGTAGCAGCACTGGCACCAGCAGCAGCACTGGCACCAGCAGCAGCACCAGCAGCCGCAGCAGCAGCGCCACAACCGCCAGAACCATCAAACCTTGGTAATCTGGCCAGTGTGGAGAATAGGAAAAAACGAAAGCGATCATATGCTATCCAGCACGAGCCACTTCCTGATTTTGTCGGCCGAGCAAGAGTGCAACCAGAGCGTTTCCTCTCTTTCACATTGGACGACCTGCGCTGCATCGGAGTGTGTGACAGAGATGGAAGTTTCCGGAGGAGGAAGGAGGAAACTGTAGTTATCACCAACCCTCACCGCGCCCAGCTCACGCCGCTACGGCGTGCGACCTGAGCTGGGCGCCCTGCCCAGTATGGAACTGTCCTCAAGCCAGTCACGTATTTGGCAGCCCAGTGAGCTGTCTAACGGATCGCAGCGTTTAGAAGCGCCAAATGAGGCAGGGCCAGTCTCAGGCTGGTCGCGTAGGCGGCAGGCCGGCGGGCGACCGGCAAGGCTGCATTCGCATTTGGATCACCGAAGTGATACAGGTGCTTCGACGGCACTCCGTGGCGCATCAAGGAGGCATCTGGGGCCCAGGCAGCCCGCCCGTAAGCGCACCACCGTATCAGGTATGCGCAGGTGGAGCAGCAGAGCAAGATGTGTGCGGGACACTCACCATCATCCGGTCGACTGCATGGTTGTGCGACTTTACACAGCCGTCACTCATTACTTGCTATTGCTTGCAGAAGGCCAGAATTTTTTCTTTTCTTTTTTCGCTCTTTCCCTTCTTCCAGGCACGGCTTCATGTTAGAGCAGTAAATTGCAGTTAGGGACTCAGCTGAGTCAAGCTGGACTCAGCGTGTCAAGTTTGGCATAATACAATAAGCGCGCTATCCCCAAACAGTTGTGTGGTTATTGTGTGAGTGTATATGCAGGAGTCCGCGGTCACGTGAGGGGGGAGTGATAACTGTTACTTTTGCCGATTTCGCTTGGTGGCTATCCAGAGCATGCCGAGATGGTCGTTTGTTCAATCCTGTTCTTGAGGAAAGCACAGGGATTCCTGAGCAGCGAGTACCGTCATGGACAGCTTTCAACAGCCTAGCAGCACGAAGCAATGTCCCTCCACGTTCAACAGTCGCCTATTGTCCAGTCATCAATGCGTCGCCCACCGAGCTCTCCACAGTGTATGGCATTCTGACGAAATGTGTTGAGAGGTGTCGCAGTGCAAGCATGGCCTTCACATTGATCGTCTTTGACCAAGCCATCTACGCGAAGGCCCTAGATGTTATATCACAGCGAACATCGGAGTTCTCTTCTGTTGTTCTCAGACTCGGTGCTTTTCATGTCGCCTGCACGCTCATGTCAGTTATCGGCAAGCGATTTGGTGATGCAGGACTCCTCGACATCCTCATCGAATCGGGAATTGCTGGTCCTGCTGCCGCTGCTTCTGCACTCGCCGGAAAGCAGTATAACAGAGCTGTGAGGTTCCACAAAGTCACCGCTGAAGCCCTGCAAAGAATGCGATGGAAGCAATTTGCAGATACTCTGGACCCAGACTACGTTGCAGCAAAGCAAGCTGCCATTGGCACGTCTTTGGATGACCTTCAGTCATGCATCACGGACGACAACCTCTCGCAGGTAGCGTCATCATCCGAGCTGCAGGACCTGTATGCCAAGTATGAAGAGTTCTGCTGCAGCCAAGACCATGCCAATTTCAAGTTCTGGTCTTCGTACCTCGACATGGTGAACTTGCTGCTTGCTTTCCTCCGTTCAAGTCGTACTGCAGACTGGGAGCTGCATCTATCCTGCATTGCCCGCATCTTGCCATGGTGTTTCGCCTATGACCGGCTCAATTATGCACGCTATATGTCACACTATTTGGTTCAAATGATGCAGCTGGGTCGCACACATCCAGAAGCTGATGTGTTCTTACGTCAGGGTGGCTTTTCTGTGCAGAGATCAGAGAACTCCTTCGCCCAGGTGCCCTCCGATCAAGCAATCGAGCAGTCAATAAACCGTGCGACGAAAACCACTGGCGGTATAGTCGGTTTCAGCCGTCATCCTGGAACAGTGCAACGTTGGGTCCTGTCTGCGCACGATCGAGCTGCTATCACTGATGTTTGTATGCAGCACTGTGGATTGGATGATAGCTCGGAGGAGAAGCACCATTTCCATAAAGAGTGCCAGACAACAAGAATGAAGCGTGATGAGAAGGATGTGTTGTTGGTCATAGACACCGTGACCAAATTCATGAATCCGTTCCAGCCAGCATCTCTCCAGCCAAGTGACCAGCTCATGCACTTGGCATCAGGTACAGAGGCATCAAGCGAAGCAGCTGAAGATCTTCTGCATGCTGAAGATCTTCTGCATGCTGAAGAGCGCGGAATCAAATCCCTCCACGAGTTTGTTGACCAGCGGCTAATCACGGACTCGATGGGGTTTCATGATACGCTGAAAAAGCTCAGCCTGAGAACCTTCACCATCAAACGCAAGAAGAAGCCTGAGAATGATCCTGTGGGTATTCTCCATTCAGACCGGTCGACATTCTCTCGTATCGCTCTGGTCGCTCAAACCCGGCAGATGGACATGCGAGAGGTGTTGTCATATCCGCTTGGCCCTTTGCCGTGGTCACTTTCTACTACATCGGGCACATTGATCAAGACGAGCAAGTCAGCACTCCTTCCTCTGCTCTTTGATGACAACTCTGGGTCAGAGACTACAGACAATGCTGGTGATGGAGCTCTGATTGTTGACGCAATGGCACTTCTCAGAGCTATGAAGGTTAATGAATTGCCATCGACGTACGGAGAATTTGCAGCGCTTGTGTTGTCCCGTCTCTGCCGTTTCATGAGTTCGTACAAGAGGGTGGACTTTGTTGTCGACACGTACCGCCAAGTCTCTATTACAAACCTGGAGAGAACGTCACGGATGAGTGCTGGAGCACTCCGGCAGCACATCACTGGCTCCATTCAGCGTCTGCCGCGCCAATTCTCCAAGTTCTTGGCCGTTGGAGAGAACAAGAGTGAACTACTGGAGTTTTTCTTCACCCAATGGCAAACACCAGAATTGATGTCAACAGTTCCTGCCCAGAAGGAACTTGTTGTCACTTCCGGAAGCTCTTGTGTGATGATCAAGAACAATGATGCATCGCCAGCTTCGCAGCCGCTTCCAGATCTCGTCTGCACTCACGAAGAGGCCGATACACGTCTGCTTCTTCATGCAAAGCATGCTGCCTGCGCCGGTTGTTCTCACGTTACAATTAAGACGCCCGACACTGATGTGGCAGTACTGGCCACTGCGTTCTGCAGGTCTATTGCATCGCGCCTGAGTCTCCTCATCGGAGCAGGGTCAAGACTCCGCCGAATAAACGTCAATGCTGCAAGCAACAAGTTGGGGCAAGAAGTCAGCAGCGCACTTCCTGGGTTCCATGCCTTCACCGGGTGCGATACGACTAGTGCATTTGCTGGCCGCGGCAAGAAGGCAGCCTTCAAACTTCTATGCTCTGACAAGCCAGTGTCAGTACTCGCCCGCAGTGCGTTCGTGGCTGTAGGCAACAAATTTGAGGCTCTTCCAGCTGAGCATATTGCCACCCTGGAGAAGTACACCTGCATGCTCTATAATGCAACACAGTGTAGCAGCGTCAATGATGCAAGGTACCAGCTGTTCTGCACCAGGAGCCTCCAGTCAAGCCAGCTGCCTCCATGCAGGGATGCATTCCTGAGGCACTGCTCGCGGGCCAATTATCAAGCTGGTGTATGGAGGCGGTGCCTTGTTGCTAGTCCCGTGGACATTCTGTCAGCACACCAGGATGGTCAAGGTGAGACTCTACACCATAATTATTAAGATGACCTGCATGAGCTCAGAGTCGCATGCTTTCAGTCACTGTTTGGATTGTGTTTGGATAAGCTAAGGATGCATGCTAGGTACTTTTAGGTTTCTAGATTTTCCATGGAATCAAGTCCGGCAGTCCAGTAAGATGAATGAACTTTTACTTTTCATGTTACTCTTATTTCCTAAGGATGGCAACTCAGGAGCGATGGATGTTTGACTATAGATTGGACCGACCTGCCACCTGCACCTCGCTCTATTCTAGAGTTTCTGCGATGTGGGTGCAAGACTGGTTGCAGTGGAGGAAGCTGCTCGTGCCGACGTCATGCATTGCCGTGCACGGATGCATGCGGATGTCGCCACAATTCCCCAGTGGCCTGCACAAACTGTATGGAGGAACTCGCTGCATGTGAAAACGAAGATGCGCCGTTAGCGGACTCAGTGGATGAGTAAGCTATCAAGCTCAACTGTTTACCTTAACGCATGGCAGCTACTTGCAATGCTGAAGAGTTGAACTAGTTTCATTCCCTCTGTTCATCTTTCTAATTAGTTGTCTGGGACTCGTCTCATCAGCATATGTAATTCTAGAACATAGAATTGTTAGTTTTATTGCTCTAAACTCATCGCTTAGGCGCTAGTATGTTTGTAGGTGCACAATGCAAGATACCTACTAGTATTACATGACCGTATTGTGTCGCATATAGTGTCATACTGTGCAGTACTATTTCTCCTCTCTACATGCCTATACCTCATCCAAATTCAGTAATTTTTCGTATGCTGGCTCTCCTCAACCTTTGTGTCATGAATCCAGTCAACAAACATCGCTATAATGCTTGCAATAGCCTCAAAATTCAAATTCATGATTCAGTTGCCATGGCAACGCGAGGAAAAACAATTTCGGCGATTTGGTCAACAAAGCCCCAACACAGCTAATCAAGAGACACATGCCTAGAAAGCCCTGCTCTTGGTCTTTCATTTGGTCATGTCAAACCTTGGTGCCCTTGCATGGCGAACGAAAAGTCATATTTTTGAACCCTGGACTGCGGACTATAATGTCCGTGGATCGTGGATCGTAGTAGATAGAACTGTACTGTAGAAGTAGAACTTCTAGAACTAGAACGTCTAGTTCTACAGTCGTAACCATGGTAACCGGTGTTGATGCACGCAGTAGAACAGAAGTAGTAGAAGGGATCCGGGAGCGTGACCGCGAAACGGGCACCAACGCTTGTGGCTCAATGTAGCTGAACCATCGGACCTTATTTGTCAGCTTGGATCACGTGATCCATCCACCTGCCGCGTGCGGCAAACAGCCCAAATAGCGCTAACTCTGGCCTGCGAGCGTTTGCTGCGACTAGCGCGCTAGCGCTCGTGACATACACAAACGCGCTAGCCAGAATGCTTTGACTTTGATGGCTTTCAGCTTCTATTTTTTGAAAAGTAGCGCGCTCAGACCAGCTCGCTCACTCTTTTTCCTCTTCCATTTTTTAGGGCAATTGTTTTGTTTGATAGACGAAGCTTGGGGTCTCTTTGGGTTTGCAACCCTTACCCTCCTGGAAAAAATCATAGTTGCTAGACTGCGACACTTCAGACCAGGTGCTATTAGAGCCGCTAATGGACGACGAGCTATTTTCCGCTATCCGGAGCTCAAGCATTTGAGCCGCTAAATGGACGAGACTCCTGGGGTAAAGGATGCAGAGAACTTGGAGTGAGGAGAAAACACTCGTATGGAGCAGGGAGTAGGTATTGTACTACTTCCTGGTATGGAGCACTGAGAAGCGGTAAGTCTTAGGGCAATTCTTAGCCAGTAATTACTTTCTCGCCATAATTATGTTCTCGTTTTTCGTGTCTTCTGTAATGCCAGTACACTAGCAGTACGACTACACTGTAGGCGAGAGTCCATAAGCCAGAGTGTGCAGCTCTCCATCTATGCAGCATAAACAAATTAATGACAAATTTCCTTTGCCTAAGGGCTGGGTTCCACCGCCGCTCCGCCGCACATCATCCACGGCATGAAACGTCATCATTACGAGCTGGTCCAGCGAGGCCGCGGCTCATCACCAGCTTTCGCTTCGCTGCTTGACACAAAAAAATGCAAGCCGCGGTCACGGCTTGCATTGTTTCCCGCACTTAATTGTTTTATTCGGGGGGATTTTAATTCGTTGCACAGGCCAGAACACGAGGATTTTTTGGATTTCACGCGCGCGCAGGCAGGCTAAATGTCATCAAAAAACGTCGAGCACGATCGCGGTACCGTGAATGGCGAGTGTCACTGGAACCGCTCCGCTCTGCTGCATGCAGCCAAGTACCGTGGAGCAGCGGAGCTGCGGAGCCGCAGTGGAACCCGACCCTAACCAAATTTATAGCAATTTGAAAATGTTTTGACAATTTTCATAAAAAACTTGACAACATTGTTCTTCTGTAGAGTGCCGCTGGCAACTCCATCGATGAACTCCATCAATGAGCGCAGGGATAAAGTTTAGAAACCCTTCGAGCGAGAACGTGTTTTCAAAAAGGAAGCACAAATATAGTATGGCCCCATCAAAGCCACTCGCTGACTACTTACCAGTAAAATGGGGTTGGACGGTTGTCAGATTAGCTGACATGTTTTCTGCCAACACAACCATAAGCAGTTGTCAACTCTCAAGACTAAAAGAGCTTGCGAAGAAAGTGAGAAACCTTGGCTATGAAAGCACATGAAGCGTCAGAACATAATCGAGCAAACTTGGACCTAGATTACCAGTGTCTGCTCCAGAGCCAGGTCAGTGGCCCTGTTTGTGAGTACTTGGACCTTTTGGAAAAAGAACACTGGGTTACCTGCGACCCGGTCGGAAGTCCTGTCGAGTACTATACTTTTTTATACTTCGAGGGTATACCGCCACTGACAGGCTGCATACAATAGGTTCAAGCTAAAGTACCGTATCACCATGGTAATTACCTGGAAATTCGGTGTGTTTTCTACGTTTTTGTTAAACAAGCAGCAATGTGCCACAGAAATTACCATGGTGATAGAGTAGATGACCGTGTGAAGCGGTGTGAGATGCAGCAAAGGTGAGCCTGTTATTGCGAGTCTATGCCCTAAACAATAAACTTTGCCGTGGGATGATTCTCTTTGGGCTGCACACTCTGGTTAATGTACTCTTGGTGGCAGCATTCTGGTGCCAAAGATGATATTTTTTCAGAAAAATAAGCACTAGAGAAATGGAGTGGGAGTAACCTGAATTATTCTATTAGCAGAGCTGCAATGCTTGGGATATGAGATTATTCCCGTAGCTATGCAAAAGACGCTATTCAGTTGTACTTTAGTAGCATCTGGCGCTACATGTAGCCAGTATCCACACCGCTGTAATTCGGTGCGTGTCACGGTGCCTGGTAGGGTGGTTCACGTGGCATGCCATGGTTGGTGCAGTATCCCGTATGTGTCCCGTACCGTAATTCGAGTATGCGGTGCGCACCGTAGCATAGATGTATCTGGAGCGCTGTACGAGCTAAGATGTCGGGGCAAATATGGGGACATTCACAACATGCAATGTGAATATGCACGTCAGTTTCGTTTTAAGAAGTGGGTTTGACGGAGTAAGAAAAGGCCCCAGCTTTGGCTGCTGCATGCTAGCCCAGTGGGTACCAATCTCCTGCCATCGGCCGAGTGCTGATGGAACGGAGTAGAAGAAAAAGAAAGAAGAATATTGCGTTCAAGAATACAATTTCAGTAAGGGATATACAGTAAAACCTGTAACTAAAGACCACCGTCACTAGCGACCAGCCTTGTACTACCAGCCACTTCGCCAGGCACGGAAGGTCTCACATTCAAAATGCACTGTGACTAGCGACTACCTTCTGAACGCGACCAGCGACCGCCTTTTCCTGTCCCAAACACAATTATTGACCCGTAACTAGCGACCGCGATGTAGGAAATCAAATGTTGCTCGAAGCTCCTTCTTGAAATTTTACTGATTTTCCATGGTCCTGAAAAGAATCTTTCGATACTACAGCTGAACAAATGAATGCAGGTAATTTGGGCTGTGGAGTCGGTGTGGACTGCACTACACCTGTCAAAATTTCAAGCGCTGTCAAGAAAAAACATGATAGGAAACGTCTTGGAGAGCGCATCGAAAGCGCTCTCTGATCGATGTTACTACTCGGAGGAGAAACGAAGACTGGGCGGCTCTGTCACCCCAGTCATACAGACGGATCGACGATGGCATCAAGGAATCCAGAAACAAAGCAGCACCACAAGGTCCTGATGCTGAAGGATCGCGTTCAAGCAATCGAGAAGTCACAACAAGGACAGTCGGTATGATTGATCGCATGAACAAATTTGAAGCCCAGCGCGAAACGAAACTTCCCCAGGGAACGTTTGACTCCTGGCTTCAGAAGTAGCAGCTGAATTTGAAGTCTGCAAAAAATTAATCTTCTCTCTCTCTCCATCTCTCCGTCTTTCTGACATTGCGCAAGTCCTGGGGAATTGTATTAGCTGCATTTTGACATACATAATTATCATATAATGGGATCCACATATGGTCACGCGGTGCAAACCTCTAACTAAAGACCAACTGCTACTAAAGACCGCTTTTGCTGGCACCAAGGGGTGGTATATAGTCACAGGTTTTACTGTGCCGGTAAGTGGATAGCTAACTAAAATAATTAGCCGTATGGTTTAGAAATAGTGGTGGCGACTCTGGATGGCAGTCGTGAGTCCGTCAAGTGTCAAGTCGACGGAATAGTGCGAGCTCCAGTGTGGGGAGCAAACCCATTCCTAAGCATCCCCCCCCCACCTCACAACAGAGCAACCGAGTTTTGGATTAAGCTGGGAGTGCCGATTCGAGCAACTGGTATGATGGCTCTGCTTGGAGCCACTAGATGGCTCGCAGCTGAGCCGGCAAATGACTCCGCTTGGAGCCGTCAAATGACTCCGCATGGAGCCGCCGAATGACTCTGCATGGAGCCGCCGAATGACCCCGCATGGAGCCGCCAAATGACCCCGCATGGAGCCGCAAATTGACTCCGCATGGAGCCGCCAATGACTCCGCTTGGAGCCGCCAATGACTCCGCATGGAGCCGCCAATGACTCCACATGAAGCCGCCAATGACTCCGCATGGAGCCGCCAATGACTCTGAGTAGAGCCGCCAATGACTCTGAGTAGAGCCTCCAAATGCTAATATATTGGTAATTTGGTATGCATAACCAGTTGAGAGCATATATTCCATAAATCGGCACTCCCGGAGCGGATCACAAAGTGCAGCTACCCGTGCAATCTGTAAGCGGTGCAAGCTAGGTAAAGACTGTCAGAACTTGATATCATGGGCTGAGGCCATTGCCGCAGCCACCCATACTTTGGCTGCAGGTGGCGTCCGAATGTTACTCGGGCAGACATCGCTTTCCACCTTCCCGCCTCTCTGAATATCGAGTCCCGCAGCTGATTCGAAACGAGTGGCCGGTGTACAACGCCAGGCCAAAGCCACAACTGATGAGCAATATCCTCGCAGTTGCTGTAAATGCCCATCGATTGGCATTCGCAGCTGATGCCGCTAGTTTTCCCAGGTGCTGCGGGCTGCCACAATTGCAAACA